AAAGATAGAACGAGTTCAAAATCCAGCTCTCTTTGGCTCGTACATGATCCGAAAACAGAAGATGGACGAGACGAAGGGAAGCAACGAGCGGTGGTTATTTCACGGAACTCCGGGTGATAACTGCAAATTAATAAATCACTCAGGTTTCAACAGAAGCTTTCATGGTAAAAATGGTGAGTAAGCTATCTTCGATTTTAAAGACATTAAGGAAAGTAAGAATTTGAAAAAAAAGCACAAGTATCAGCCCTAAATCGCAAAATAGAACTCGATCCCGCAAATTTCTTTATGCTACACGGTAATGTGCAACAATGTGTCACTATATCATTATGCTCTTATCAAAAAACCTCGTTTTTACAACTTCGCTTTATTCATTATAGTTCCCATGCGCAAATATTTGCATGAAAAGGAAGCCACAGTTAAACATCAAAACTTATTCAATTGCTTTTTTTGTTTGGTTTGTATTTTTGTTTTTTTCATATTTGATTTACTTATTCTCAGAATTTATCAAAAGACTTCTCAACCTTAATTGGCCACTGTTACCATTTAGCTCCCGCAGCACGAGAGCTCGATAACTCGGTGGTCAATTAGGCTTACACGTACTGAACCAAAACTGCTGGGTTACGAAACCCTGTAGCAAGCGAATTTTAAAACTCTCCTTGACCTTTCAGCAACCATGTACGGAAATGGCGTGTATTTTGCTGAGGACGCCTCATACTCAGCTCGGTCAACCTACTCACCAGCCGACACGAGTGGTCAGCGGTACATGTATCATAGTAGAGTCCTGGTTGGTGAGTATGCACAAGGAAAACAAGGTCTCATCACGCCTCCAGCAAAGAATCCAAATGATCCAACTGACACCTATAACAGCGTGGTGGATCAAATCCCCAACCCGAAAATCTTTGTTGTGTTCTATGACTCGCAATGCTATCCAGAGTATTTGATTACCTTTTGCTGACTCGCACACGGTTTTCGGCGCTGTTTAGTGTAACACAACTTGTGCTTCTTTGTTTAACTGGGAAAAAGACGTTTCAGTGGATAGATGTCGTTAGTTTCTCCGTTTTATAGTTTGTTTTGTTTTATTTGTGTCTGTTTCTCCTTTTTTTTTATTTGTTGTTGTTGTTGTTTTTGATATATTATTACTGATTTTCGTTGTAATAGTGAGCCGACTCAATGAAGAATCTTTTTGTCTATCAGCAAATTACGATATCATAAATCGCGCATGGATAACAAAATTATTTGTCTGTTTTTTCTATGTTTTTTTCTATGTTTTTTTAATTTGTTTGTTTGCTTGTTTTCTTGTTATCAGTTGTTATAGTGAGCCGCCTCAATTTAGATTTGAATTTTGTGCATCATAGATCGCGCACGGATAAAGGAATCGTGCAGCGACACTTATATAGCTCTCTATAGTAGGACTATTAATGCGAAACAGCTATATTTGTTTCCCACTTTCCTCAACACCCGGCAAAATTATTTAGATGCATGGTAAATCACAGACGAATGATCATCTTGTGAATCATGGCTACTACCAAACATAAGCTAACTGAATTAAGCTTGAACATCCTGTCAATATGAGTTTGTAGGGCTCCGTGTGGAAACATCTAAATCGTTCCTCCTGAGGTAGCTCTATTCACCGCAGGTGTCGTTCGGCAACGTTATAATTAAGGAGGGTAGAAAAGGGTGAGGGAGGGCTTTTGGTAATCTAGGCCAAGCTCGCAGTCGAAAAAGATTATTGAGAAAAGAATGAGCAAAAACCAACAGGTATTTGGCAATGAAAAAAAAAAGAGTTGCGAAAGACTGTGAGAATTGCGTTTTTAACACCTCATTTTGCCCTCTTCGCTTCTTTTTGCGAAGTTTGATTTCA